TTTTTTTAGATGAAAATACAATATACAAATGGTTTTATACAGTAGTGGGTAGTTGTGTGTTCTCGTGAGTACTATCCCAAATTAGAAATTCATCAGCACCGGTAGTGGCATATATTATAATATCGTTTTACTTTCAAACGTTATTTACGTCGACAGAAGTCTAAATATTCTTCATTCGTATATTCGTATATAATATTGAACAAAYATTTTTTTTTTGCTTATTTTATTTTTAGTCCACTTTTGATCATAAGAACTCAGCTCATCYATATTCAAGCATATTATTATTAATAGATGAGCTTGCAACTTGTTTATCAAATATGTTTTCTATACTATTGTATTTCTTGTTTGTCGCAATAAATTATATTATTACTATTGTTATTATATAGCAATATTGCATGCATTATAAGAACATATAAAAACATAGTTTGATCTATCAACGGTTAATTGGTGTTTTGCACCTCAGGGTTATCGGACAGCAATTATTCTATTTAGCACAATACACACTATAAGTTATAATAATTAATGAGTTACAAAATGATGTAGGTACATATGCGCGGTGTAGCGATACTTTCACTCGGCCGACGAGCATWAAAGTGCTTTAATCGCGTGCCTATTGTTTTGTTGGCACTTGCGACGGTATGTAGGTCGTGACGAGCTTCTTCTTATTAGGCTGTTAGACAAACATGTTATTAGAATAATATTATTCCCTAAACGGACGGATATAAAATTTAAGGAACAGTCATCGCTGATGGTTTTGTTTTCTATTCCGCTTAAAATCATGACACGACACGCGACCACCGCATCTACCAACAATTATTGTTAATAATAATAATAATATTGTTAATAACTAATAAGTATACAGTCATCAACTATTTTATTTTATTTTCATTATTATAAAACATAGCATGTTATTGTAGACATTCATAGCTGGTAATTTGAATGAAATCAATCCATTCATTTGAAATTATTAAATAGTTCTATGGAACAATATTGTTGTTAAGATGATGTATAAGTGAACAT